TCTTCTACATAGCTCACTTTACGGTATGTGTTTTGGTTATCGTTGATGGCTAGTTGCTTACATATACTCCATTTTGGTTGTTTGTGAGTAATTGTTTCATTTCCAATTATACCACATCTCCTTATTTGTATATCTTCACTTGTCTAACGAAAGCTATACTTTATATAACCTAGTTAGTCAAGTGGTCTTAGACATTGGAAGGCCCAATATGTGACATTTAAATTTCAGAAACAGTATCATATTCATTTAATCTATTATACTTTAACCGTTTTAGCTACAATCCTCTTTTCACGGTTGCTCTAGTGTAACATTCCACTTAAATGGTTTCTAAATGATTTCAAGTTCAAATCGCACAAATTTAAAGAAAAAAGTAGATATTAGATAAACATGAAATAAATAGCACTTCTATTTATAATATTTAAGATTTCATCTCTAGCTTAATCTGGAATAAAATGGGAAACTGATTTGCTGTTAGTACTGGTGTTATTTAAAACAAGCTAGGTAAAAAATGAAACAATTATAGGAAGTTAATATTTAACATTATATACACCAATTTGGGCATTTTTGTTCCAAGGCAACTGCATTTTTGCAAACATCACTTTTTAACCCAAACGCATCGTCTAAGATCCATTATTAACAACAACAAAAAAAAAACCGTTTTATTCACAAAATTATAATTGACATATGAATTAATTCTTCAAGTAAGAAATATGATCCTCGGGGTTTAGGGCAAGCCTTTTACATAAATATGATTATAGTAGCAAAATTGTGGAAACTTAGGAATCAAATGAATTTCGAAAAGGTCACTTTCAATATCAATTTTATAGAATTTATAGTAACTGAAAGATTTGATTTGGCTTCTTGTACAAAAGATTGCTTTTCACCAAATTTTCGATAACATACCGTCGACATTTATAACTGTCAAAAATAGATATCAAGAGATATAAAGAAACAACATATAAATATACTAATAAAGATTTGTTTGTGGGTTAATGCACCAGATTCCATGAGGCAGTAGATAAATAATCCTAATCACATGGACTTGAAATAGGAAATGTTTAGCCATTAGCCATCTGATTTTACTGGCATTCATTACATTCAGATCAGAATTACCAAGCCATAAAAATTTGATTTGAAATTTCTTATCGCTGCTAAAATCAATATTAACTATATCTCTGTTTGTTTTATCAAAGTAGAGATAAACGCGGATAATGAATTTATATCTAGTTCCACAAAATATTTAAAGAAAGCCATGTTATTATTTTTTTAGACCTGTCATTGATAGAAAGATGGTAGGTACAACACAGTTTATATTTTGAAAATATTTCCACTGATTTAAATTCTCTTTGACGGCCATTGTTGGAGCCATTTCGAAAGAACTTACGTCAGAATTTCCATGCACTATTTTTAAAAAGTATAATACAAATTGACCGAGTAGATTTAAATATTATGAAAATATGAAATGTTGACAGACAGCAACGAACCAATTTAAATACAGATTCTGTGTTCAGATGTCCCTACAATTCGTGAACGCAGAATCTATGTTTTAAGGGAGCTACCATTTGATTTTTATGGGGGGGCTAGGATGAAACTTGAAAAAAAGGCAGGACAGGAGTTTTGAGTAAAAAAAAAGGCAGGATGAGCAACTTTGAAAAAAAAAAAAAAAGGCAGGATGACAATTTATGTAAAAAAAAGTCAGGATAAACTAATAAAAAAAAAAGGCAGGATCGAATAGAGTGAAAAATAAAAAGGCAGGACAGAGATTACAACTAAAAAAAAATGCAGGACAAAATTTTTCATATTTGCCCCCCCATAAAAATCAAATGGTAGCTCCCTAATGGTAGACAACATTTTTTTCCGTGATGATCGTCTGGTAATCAGGTTATCAAAAATCGCAATTGAATCACATTTCCATCTTCTCTGAAATAAACCTGAACAAATATTTGCAGTTGCAAACTTTCGTTTATGGAAAATATTAATTTTCTATCAACAAAATAAAGAAAAAAAAACATGACCAAATACATTTCCTGATTCTGATCGATCAAAATTCCTAGGGCTATACAATAATAAATCAAAACTTATTGTTACTATGCAGGAATGTTACGGAGACCCTGCTTCCCTGTTTTGTCCCCACGAACGAACGAATGGTATTCTTACTGGCAATATTGCTAGTATCTAGGTTATAATTTAACGATACAATAAATCATATATTTTATCTTTTCCCATTTTACTTTGCTGAAATAGTACACTGAAGATGTTTAATGCAAGTCTCCTATATTACCATTAATGGCATTAACAAGCTAGTACAACCACGATGAGTTCACTACTGAATTAAATATTAACTCGTCCCTTCACATTACTAATGCATTGGAATAGAAATTGGGACAACATTTTAATCTAGATTGAACTTTAGTATCAATGAAATGAATAGATGTGTAATATACGACAAGTTCTTACACTAAGATATTTCAGACTTTTAATTATTTTTTCCTATCAAATTTACCACAATTATGGATGAAGATATCATTGTCTCAATATTCTGCAATAAACAATTTGCAGTAACCATAATTTATACGTAAAGGTATATTTCTTCCTTCTTGAATTGTAGTCCATAAAGATTGATTGATTGTTGGTTGCTTAATGTCCAGTTGCAAATATTTCATGCATGTTCATGACGAGAACAAATTAACAATAAATACAATAGGTAGGTCTTGTAATTTAGTCCGTATAGAAATGACACACTAATTATATCGTGGAGCCATGCAGATTCAATGACCAATGAACAATGAAATATTTAACAACTGCTACAGTTATATATTTTATTAATTCGGTTTTGTTTCTTTTTAATCACTTAAAGTGGTACATAACACTACAGGGAGATAACTCTGTAAAATTCAGCTGAACGTTTTAATCACGTTCTATTCTTAAGGAAATATTAAGTTTCTCAATGATCAAAATTAGTGTTTGTCAAAATGTTATATATAGCCAATGAATTTTTTCCGATAAAGTGTGTGGTTCAAATTTTTTGAAATTTTTATATATTTGTCAAAGGGTCAAAGTAAATATATTGTCAACATTACCTTAACAAAAACCCTGTTAAAATGATGCTATAACCTTCTGACATAATGTCATCGGATGTTACTGTACGATTATAAGTTTTGAATGAGCTCTTCTTATTGTATGACTGTTTCTTAAAAGTCAAAGTTGAAATTCGCATATGATGATGTGATGTTGCGCGTTTATCTTATCTTTGATTAGGGGGAGCGGTAGTAGGATTACATTTGTGTTTGAGTCCTACTAATAACTTAAGTATATACTGAAATAAATCTATATTTTTTAATGTTTACACATGTTGTCCTGTCCCGGGCTTTTATAGCTTACTAAACTGTATGGCGTTTGCTCACTGCTAATCACCTGACGGTGACCTGTAATTGTTCACTCAAAGTTGTCTTCTATGCGATCATGCCATATCTTCTTACTTTTGTATTTTTTAACACAAAGTATCGATTATCTTGAACTGCATACATACTAACAATCTTGACTGTTCAACCGTCCTTAACATCTATATAATTGGTATTAAGCCATTATACTCAGAGGCTAATAATTCTATATAATAAATGTAAATTTATCATCCTGAATGCACACAGCTACTATTGGCGGGATTAAATCTAATAGTAGAAAAGACGAAGAAACATGATAATTGGCTTTCTACAGACATTCAAACGGGTGTGTGATTAATTGTCAAAGGCTTATCGTTTTAGGCTTAAAATTATATTGTCTATTGCTTTCTCATATGGTAGAGAAGGATTAACTTGTTGGCTTAACATTTTTGCTTTCATAACCAAACGCGTTGCATATTACTCAAGTATGAATATTCTGTTTATCGGCATAAAGAGTAAACATCAAACTCGCATATTATCTAAAAATTTGGAAAAAAATCATGCACATAAAAAAATAAAGCTTTTTTGATACATTAAATGTCAGAGTGTTTCACATATTCCTTAGCATAGTACAATCTATTTTCTATATCTAAGTTTTCGGGCACGGCTTTTTCAAAGGAACTTTCAATATAAAAAATTTCTTTATGTGAACATAACGATATAAAACTAAAATTAATGTCTGTAGACGCTAGAAAATATAAGGAAGATATTTTTACCAAAATAATTTAAAGAATAGGTCGTCTCGATTTTTGTATATGCAATTGCGATCTTCACGATGCATTTGCATTAAATGTTTATACCGAAACAAGGTCCGTTTGAATTTACCCAGTGACTTTCTTTGCTACATAAGATTCGACTTTGTTGATATTTTCTCCTGTACCTTTCTGGACTAGCTGCTTATATATACAGCGAACTTGTGCGTTCATGACGTATGCAGCTAAATAAAAGCTAACTGTGGAATTTTTCGTATCCTTGATGATGAATGCAACATACGTCATAAACGTCTCATAAAATAACTGTTAAAATAATTATTTAGTAGCACGAGCGCTACCATTTTTACAAGATAACAGCAAATAAGAATTTAGAGTATCACATACAATTTTTGCATGAACTAACAAAATCCGAGGTATTGCATAACTTGTACATTATAGTATTTTGAGATTTAAGACATTGTAACAAGTAGACAAACGTTAACTAAGGGCATACGATACAGTTACAGGGGAGGTAATGACGTCGCTAACGTAAACTGTTATTTTTCGCGACGTCAAACTGTGACATTGCATTTACCTTTTGAAACAAAAAAGTTAAGGATGTCTTTCCATTGGATAGAAATGTCCCTTAAACCGAAATGTTCAGTAAATGTATAAAATTTCGACCCGTTCATCTCTAAAAGTAGCACATGAAGGTATATTTTTAATTACATATTTGAATTGACTAGGTGAAAAATAGCTTGTATGCAAACTTTCGCCAAAAACTCACCGTGGGATCAAAACTGTATCGTATGCCCTTAAATAGTTTCTGTGTTCATTTTTCAACATCATTTATTTTTATTGTAGGTTCGCTTTATGTCTCTTCTGCAACACACAAACATGTTAAAGAATACATTTAAAGAAAATAGAATAAACGACAGCGTTAAGGAGAAGATTTTTCATGAATTTCGTAAAGATGATCATTGGTTCGATCCAACCACAGAAACATACCTTATCATATTTTATTGTGCAGTTATTTTCATTGGAACCTTTAGTAATGTTGTCATTTGCTTTATCGTTTGGAAAAATAACAGCTTGCGTAAACCTCGGAACATCTTCATTGTAAATATAGCGGTATGCGATATTATTATGTGTACCTTTTGTATGCCTTTCTCTCTTGTTAAATTGACCATGAAAAACTGGCATCTTGGATTGTTTTTATGTAAGGTTGTACCATCTCTTCAAAATATCGATATTTTCGTCTCTACTTTCACTATTGTTGCGATTGCGCTCGACCGTTACTGGGCAATAGTGCATGCTTCGAGAAATATACATATGAGAACCGTATTATATATGCTGATATTTATTTGGGCATTGGCACTATTCTGTTGTATTCCGATGCTTCTGTTCCATGAAGTTCACATCGTGTATAGCGAAACCATAAATCAAGAAGATTTCCAAATATGTATGGAAGTATGGCCGTCTGATAATTTGAAAATTGTTTATACACTGTTTGTCACAGTTGTTCAATACTTGATGCCTTTGTTAATTGTATCAATCATTCATTCAAAAATATGTTGTGTGTTACGCATGCGGGTCACAAAAGATCCAATAACAGACAACGAGATGCAGCGTGCACTTCGCGATGTGAAACGTCACAGGCGTAATATGCTTCTGCTTACTGCTATAGCGATTACATTCGGAATTACTTGGCTGCCATGGACTGTTTTAAACATAACGGCTGATATAAATGTTGAAATGTTCTTGCATAAAAAGTTTCTTTTGATTTATGCAATCTGCCTTTTGATAGCCATGTCGTCTGCATGTGCTAACCCGGTGCTTTATGGATGGTTCAACCTGAATTTTAGAGATGCCTTCACAAACTCATTAATTTTTTGGAGAAAAGATTCAACAGATTCACAAGAAATGGTTACATACAACAAGACATCGAATGATAGAAAATCGTAACATTTATCCAAAGGGAGGTTGTTTTCTACTTCAATTGGGTTTATTTATTTTCTTAATCAAATATTTCTCATAAACTGCGTGTAATCAAATGTTCTTTGTAAGATTACAATGTTATTTAATATATTACTACCTTCATTAAAACGTATGTGTAATTCAACATATTTAATATTGCAATGCCCGCTGTTTGATTTAATTTTTCCAGCACAGGCAATATTTGTAATCAGCGATATCCAAAGGCGATACACATATATTATCCTGTAAAGGTCAAGTCGAAGAAATTAACGATGACCTTCAAACTTTTAATACTTGACATGCTGAGCGATCTAATAAACATAGGGACCAATATATACAATTCCGATATTGGAAAATAAAAATAATCTGTATATATGTGGAATCCTTTATTTTCAGTTCAATCAAAATTATCACCAAATTTTGGTTTAATTAGTGAAAGAACTTCATTTATATAACGAAACGTAGAGTTAAAGAAAATGCCAGCTTTTTTGCTGTCTCTTGAGAACCTCCTGTGTGAAGTCTGCCTCATCAGATTCAATGGAACAATTTGACAAGAAGAGGAGCACAGATGATTCCTATATGAATGCTGATTGTCTGTCGAATACCACATCCTCCAAAAGTAGCAAATATGTTATCAATAAAACAAAAAACTAACATACATAAATGGTTTGAAGCTACAAATATTTCCTAGAAAGTAATGTGTGGTTAAACCGCTATTTACATGTTTTACAATAATTACAAATTAAAAATTCTTCAAAAAGTAAACAATAATCCACACAGTCGGACTATGGAAGATAAAATAAACGCATCTAGTAGTTTCCGTGTAAAATCAAATCCGAGTATGTTATAGCCATGATTGCAACATTTTCCACACATCCTAATACAGCCAGCCATTGTTATTTCAAATGGGGGACGAGTGGTTTGTCAACAAAAGAACAACACCCAACAAAACTATAGACGCGACAAATAAATATCCTTATCTAAATCTTTTGAGAGGTTTAGCTAGCTATAAAACCAGGTTCAATCCACCATTTTCTACATAAGAAAATGCCTGTACCAAGTCAGGAATATGACAGTTGTTATCCATTCGTTTGATGTGTTTGAGCTTTTGATTTTGCCATTTGATTAGGGACTTTCCTTTTTGAATTTTCCTCGGAGTTCAGTATTTTTGTGATTTTACTTTTTACAGAAACGAACAAGGCGTTTGTTCACACAGGTTGACTAAATATAAGTATGACAAAAACTCATCTACGATACAATTTTTATAATTTTGTTCACACAATGCGCGTTTCGATCAAAAAAGTTTATTATCAAATAAAGAACGAAGTTGATGGGAATTGAGGACGCAAAATTTTAAAAAGTTTTGCCAATTACAGCTTAGATAATCTATTCATGGGGTAGGAAATCCGACTTAGTGTTTCGAAAAATTCAAAGTTTTTTAAACAGTTAATTTATAAATATGACCTTATCAATAACCTTTCATCTCAAGATAGAAATGCTGACTACGGGGCTGGTGATACCCTCGGGGAGGAAAACCACACCAGCAGTGATATCGAGCCAGTGGTTATAAAAACAAAAAATACCAGCCTAAATATGCCTATGAGTAAATACTGGTTACTAAAAACTCTGAAATTTACCGTTTTGAAATTTTAATTATTGAACTATAGTGCTGAAGGTCTTGTGATATTTTCCAAAGGACTGAACAACAACAACATAAAGAAAAAAGAAAGAAACAAATACAAGTACAGATCACAAAATTAAATGGAAACTACATGTTTATTGGGCAAATAAGAATGAAATCTATTTATCAAAGCAGACTACATATAAAAAAGAATATGTGGTATGATTGTCAATGGGACAACTCTCCACAAGAGACCAAATGACACAGAAATTAACAACTATAGGTCATCGTACGGCTTCAACAATGAGCAAATCCCATACCACACAGTCAGCTATAAAAGGCCCCGAAATGACAATGTAAAACAATTCAAACGAGAAAACTAACGGCCTAATTTATGTACAAAAAAAGGAACGAAAAACAAATATGTAACACATAAACAAACGGCAACCACTGAATTACAGGCTCCTGACTTGGGACAGGCACATACATACAGAATGTGGCGGGGTTAAACATGTTATAGGAATCCCAACCCTCCCCCTAACCTGGGACAGTGGCGTAACAGTACAACATAAGAACGAACTATAAAAATCAGTTGAAAGAGGCTTAACTCATCAGATGGATAAAAATACAAATACTACAAATACAAGTGGACGTGGCCGGGTACTTGTACATCCAAACAACAAAAAGACACTAAGTACAGACCTAAGAGTACTCGCAGTTACTGACAGCTAGTTCAAAGCCACTAACAACTAATAAAATCAAAGTACTGAAGTACTGAACATCGGATGACCATAAGTTCTTGAGGATGGTCAAAAGCACTTGTCTCAGAAAAAACAACATATCTCTTTACCTAAAACTGAGGTTAATGTACAGAGATATATTTTTTTTCTGAGACAAGTTCGTGCGTGGATGATGACTTCAACTTCACCGTAATAACTATTATATTGTAGTGATACAAATCAGTATACACTGAGTTGTTGTTTATATTATATTAAAATAACAGTTACATATATATATGATTTGAATCCATTTGTATATCATTCTATTCTACTATTCTAAAAATAGTGCAATGTAAGTGCATGGTGGACACTTTTCTGTAAAAATTCGATTTTTCTAAGATTGGATATGAGTAGGCATTCATATTTTCCCGCAAAATCAATTACAGAGTTACCGTTCCTTGACGGTATTTTCACAAAACGTTCTTTGAGATATTCTTCCGCATGCTTTAACACAATTTTTCGGTACGTGTGCATTGATATTATCAATGATTTTTTACTTATATATATATATCTAACTACAAAACATTTTCATATTATTAATTTATGTTGTAAACAAAAATATTTTTATCAGTATTCATTGAAGAGATGTATTTATATCAAACGATAAGGAATGTTATTTTGCACTCGTTTATGTGCGCGTATTTATCATGTTTATAGATCGGTTACAAACCCAAAACTAATTTACATAATGGAAATCTAGGCGATAGCAATACATCGGGATGACCTCATGTTTATTGGGCAAATAATAATGAAATCTATATATCAAAGCAGACTACATGTTTATTGGGCAAATAATAGTGAAATCTATATATCAAAGCAGACTACATGTTTATTGGGCAAATAATAATGAAATCTATATATCAAAGCAGACTACATGTTTATTGGGCAAATAATAATAAAACAAACATACTCCAAACAGGACACCTTGAATTTTAAGATTGCCAAAACTAAGGAAAATCAAACTCGAAAACGAGGTCGATGCTAAAATTTTAACAACAGTATTTTGATAAGCATTATGGTTAAAACTTGTATGCAGCTTTTTGAGAAATTCTGAAAGCTGGCATTGAATAGAGGGATTAGTTTTTTTTTGAGGTATCGCCCATAAAAGACACCTAACATAAAACTATGTATTAAAGGGGTTATTCAAAACCAAGTGACAAACAATGTCTTTTAAGAACAAGACGAAATCCTTGTTTTCCACTCTCATTTGACACTTTGATCCAATCAAAAACAATTGTTGTCATTCTGATGACTATTATATCCCAAAAACACCTGTCTATCATGTGTATGTCTTCGGGAGTTCGAAATGCTCTGACGTCCAACGGCCTGTTTTGATGACTGGTTAGGGCTTCGGGACGTCAGTGAGTAGGACATATAGAAAAGCATGAAAAGGATGACACATCACCTGGGAGATATGCATTCTATATGTAGGTGCTAATGGGTTTTGCTACATAAGAATGGAAAGTTCACAAGGGTAAAATTGAAACCATCTTCTCTTTCGTCATGAAGTTTATTTCTTGACCTACACTAACGGTAAATTTAATTTATAATTCAAGATATGAAGTAGACTCAACTTTATCAATGTTTTATGTTTATTTCAAATGTTAAATGGAATACAATATATACTAGCCAAGAAACGAAACAATACCCGATTTTTTATGTTATTATTCTATAATATACAAAACTAAAATAACTTTGTTGAAAACTAAAATAAATACTTGTGATAAAACCTGGGTATCGTTCTTTTTGTTGTGTCTAGTACATATGCAATAAACCAAGTAAGAGCGGTGTCGACCCAGGGGGTAGTGAAAAATGTCTTATAATTTCAGTGCTTATATCTATTATGTCTGTTTGTTTTGCACAAACATTGTTGTCAATATAATGGAATTTTATGCGACTGTCATACAAGTGAGAGGTTTAGCTAGCTATTAAACCAGGTTTAATTCACCATTTTCTACACAAGGAAATGCCTGTACCAAGTCAGGAATATGACAGTTGTTTTCCATTAGTTTGATGTGTTTGAGCTTTTGATTTTAAGGGACTTTCCGTTTTGAATTTTCCCTGGAGTTCGGTATTTTGTTATTTTACTTTTTAATGGTTTTAATTATTCATGCAATACAGAATAAAATGTTTCTAATCCTCCAGTGTATTGCAGTACTGAATACAATGCAATCGATTTTCTCGCGGAGTTTTAAGGTGTCTTCCTCCATAATGAAAAAAACAAAAGAAAATGACATTGAGAGATGAACATATTGTTTCCAATTAGTGTATAAACGTCTATGGTATTTCGCCATAGTTGACACGGAGTATGAATGAATACTACACGAGATTCGCTGCTGGTCAACATACAATTCGTAATAAACAGACACATTGTACATAAATTATGAAATATATATATATATATATTTATTTTCAAAAAAAAAATCAATAATATAAGACAAGTGAACCCTAGCAGAAGCAATGTGAAAAGACACGAAAATTATATGAAAACTGTCGGCAACAAAAACTCCATAAAATATGTTTTATATAGACGTTGCGCATGATTGTGGTATCAGTTTAAAAAATGGGATAGTAAGCAGGTTGTTCAGATCAGTAGCACTTGTCTCTCAAAAAATTACCTATATACCTTAACATAACACTGAAAGGCTACATCACTTGTGGAAGGAATTATAATCCATATAAACAAGTTCAAGTTATTTCGTTAAAATTTTAAGTCATG